GGGATGTCTGCACCCTGCTGACAAACGCAGACGCAGTCACACGGAGACTCAGACAATGGCTATTTTAATGGCAAATGCTTCTGCCAAGCCTCTTTCCACTAAACATTTTCTTCAGAATTATTTTCATTAAGAAGTTGAACAATTTCCACATTAGCTGCTAATCCCCTGTCATTTAAAAGTCTGCTGATAAAATTCTTTGCTTGTCATTCCAATAGTGGGAACGATTACCGACGGCTTCCGGCCTGCCGGCGGCAGCGCGGTCAGCTTCGTGGCCTCCCGGCCGCGTGCGGTCAATTACAGCCACTGAGGCGCGTGTGCCAGCCAGAGCCGCTCGGCCAGGCCGCCGCCTCCACACGCCTCCGTATCTCGCTTCCTTCTGGGACTTGGCCCCCAGACAAAAAACCCACCGCCACTGACAATGTCGGGTTTTAAATGTGAGTCTGTGGCTGCTTCAATGAACACATGTCTGAAGAAAAATTAACTAGGTTTTATGTTAGTTCTACTAATTTTTGCCTTTTAAAAGTTTAAAATAGCTACCCAAGGCATCATAAACTCCTGAACTATATAGCTGCTTCTCAAACAACACTTTACCGGTGATGCCCTGGCCGGTGTGCTCAGTGGTTAGAGTGCCGGCAGCATACTGAAGGGCCTCAGGTTTGATTCTCAGTCAAGGGCACATACCTGGGTTGCAAATTTGATCCCCAGCCCAGCTGGTGTGTGTGCGGGAGGCAACCAATTGATGTGCTTCTTTCACATCAATGTTTCTCTCTCTCCCTCCCTCCCTTTTGCACGCTCTTTAAAAACCAATGGAAAAAGTCTCCTCAGGTGAGGATTAACAACAACAACAACAAAAAGACATAGATAAGGTGTCTTGTTTCTACCCATGATCTGTTCTCCTTCAAAGATAAGTGAGAAACAGTGGAAAAGTGGGAAGAAACCACATAAAACTTGAAGAGATAAATCCAATCATTCTAATTTTTAAAATGGATATTAGAGAAGAGGAAAGGAGAGAGAGGTGGATTTGTTGCTCTGCTTATTCACGCACTCATTGGTGGCTCCTTGAATGTGCCCTGACTGGGGATTGAGCCTGCAGCCTTGGCCTGTGCGGTGCGCTCTAACCACTGGGCACACGGCCAGGGCCCCTCTGTCGTTCTAAGTGGACTGCACGCCCCTCACCCGCCCTCACCAGGTCGCACCCGCCCTCTCTCACTCCCTGGATCGCTGCGTTTGGGAGCTTTCGCACAGAGCTCATGGACCTGCCCGGAGCATGGGTTTCTGAGACTGACGCGGACCAGACATCAGGACGGTTACCCCGCTAACGCCTGTTTCTGTCTCCTGTTTATGAACCACTGGGAATGGGAAAGATGGATTTCAAGTACGTGTTTTGCAGCAACTTTTATTAATATGAATGAGTACACAGTCCTTATTAAGTGAGGAAATAAAATTTGGATTTTGCCTCCACCATGTCCATTTGACACGTGAAATACACTTGCAGCTGGAGTTTCTTAGAAATTCCACTGATGCACAGAAAGCAGCCGCGGTCCGAGGCACCAACCCCGGAGGGGCCTCCAGACCCAACAGATCCTGGGGAAACGACCCCTCCGAGGAAACGGGGGCGCGGGGGCCACTGCGATGGAGAAATGGGGCTCCTGCTAGTTCCAGTGCCGGCACGGTGGCCGCCTCACTGGCGCTCAGAGGCAGCCTCCGCGGGCTGCGTGTGCTGATGCCACCTCCTCCCGCCGAAGGTCAATTCAACAGCAATTCCAGGTCGCGCCACAGCAGCAGCCCTCGGGGACCCCCACTGTCACCGTCACCACCCTCCGACCCAGAGGAGGCCCAGAGGAGACCTTTTTGCCGGAAAGATGAGACAACGGTTATCACAGGGACCTTTCAGGCGGAGGAAAGAGGAGGGACGGTTGCCTAGCAACGCAGACAGCTTCTTCCCCATTACAAAGCCCAGATCTTTTCTTAGAACAGCCTTTATGTTCCCTGCCTGCGATGTGCTCATTATGATTCCCGAGGATGTGTTTAGGAGAAGAGCGTTTCAGCGAGTGGTGTGAGGCCCAGGAGAGGGCGGAGGCGGAGTGCGCTCTCCTGCCCGATGGCAGGCACCAGGTCCACACACAGGCGGAGCGGGCAGGATCCCAACAGCACTCAGGGGGCACAGCTTTCTCCTCCCCTTCTTCCTTCTCCCTCTCCCTCCATCCCTCCTTCTCCCTTCCTTCCCTCCTTCATCCCCCCCTCCTTCCTTCCTTCTTCTCTTCTCTCTCTCTCTCTCTCTCTTATTTGCTATTATTTTTAACCCTCACTGAGGATATGTTTATTGATTTTAGAGATAGGGAGAGGGATAGAGAAACATCGTTGTGAGAAACATCAATCCATTGCCTCTGTATGTGCCCCAAATGGGGATCAAACTGACAACCCAGGTATGTGCCCTGACCGGGACTTGAGCCCACGACCTTTCAGTGTATGGCATGATGCTCCAACCCACTAAGCAGCCCAGCCAGGCCAAGCACTTTGGTTTTTAATTCCTAATGTGCAGTAAGATAAGAATAGGAGCATAGAAATGTCATCAATACTGGAACAGCTCACACAAGATCAAAAATGCATCTTCTCTTCACCAACCAAACTTGCTAAGAGGCACAGAGCCCGGAGCCGAGCCTGCGCAGGCCTTCCTGTCAGCAGCGAACAGCTGCCTCCCGCGGAGAAAGGGACAGCGAGGGCCAGGGTCAGCCGCAGTCACCGAGCCCGGCCAGCGTGCCTCCTCCGAGGCTGTGAGACGAGGAGCTGGAAGCAGAGAGAGAGCGATCCAGCGGAAGCCGTGTGCCCGGTTTGGGTGGAGCGTTAGGGAGGAGACTATGCAGGACATTTTCCGTCTTCTTTCCAGCTCCGCGCAGCAATGACGCACCGTGCGTTTGCGAGGTGCGGGGCGCAGTGGGCATGGATCCCACACGCCACCCTCTGCCTCCTGCTCCAGCTCAGCAGCCAGAGCCTGCACCCAGCCCCGCCCACACGTGTGCGCCGGGTCCCCGTGCCGCCAGCCTGGGCATGCGGAGCCACCGACGCCCGTCACAGGCAGCCGGCGCTCAGGCACACGGTGTGCGTGTCTGCGGAGGGAGGTGAGCGGAGCCGGCAAGGCACAGCGCGGCCCTCAGAGCCTCCTCCCTCGCAGGCCGTGACGTGGCCGGCAGGGGTGAACCGGCGGCAGCGCACGCTGGCCCCGGGCTCTCTGGTTCGGCTGGCCTTGGGCGTAGAAGGCGGGGCCTGCTGACCAGCGCTAGGCACACACGGGGCTCTGTGCCCACAGGGCCCCGTGGGGCTGACCGGCTCCTCCTGGAGCGGGAGAGTGTCCCAGGGCAGGCGCCGAGGCCTCGAGGACAGGACGGGGAAACGGCAGCCGCAGGAGGGGTGGGGGAGGCCCAGGCTCTCGCCGCGCGGCCCGGCGGACAGGTCCCCTCACTGCGGACTCCGGCAGGCGGTGCCCGGCCCTCACGCCTGCCGCCTGTCACCCTGACCCCACCTTCCTGCTGACAGTCAGCACCGCCCGCACTCCGGCCATGAAGCCCGCGTGACGCAGGGGCCACACGCACACGCCCGCACTCCCGCCCAGGAGGCCTCTGTGACCGCCCGGGAGAAAGGGCGCCACGGCGTGCAGACGAGCCCCGAGGGGAGGCGGGCTCTGAGGAGGCGGCGAGACGAGGGCAGGCGCTGCCTCCGTGGCCTGTCACTGCCCTCAGGGCACGTCTCCGAGGAGCTCCGGGCCGGCTGGCCGACACGTGGGCAGTGGATGTGCCCAGGCCGGCGCCACGGGCACACAGGCCCCCGTGAGACTGCGGCCGCGCCGGGGGAGGGAGGCACACGGATGTACGGTGCCGTGAGGCACGGGGACACGCCCCTCCACGCCAGGTCAGCGGCCCCTCCGTCCTGACGGTCATCCCCAGGCTCCCGGCCGCGGCCGCCACACACGTACATGCTCAGGGACGCCAGCGGCGGCTCTGCCCTCGTGTCCCAGGGGCAGAGGGCACGCGTGGCGCTGGGCCGCACCTCCCCGTGGACATGGTGCTTGGGCAGGCTCTGCCGCCATTGTTGGTGAAGCCTCTGCTTTGCCCCAAAGGGGCACAGGATCAAATCAGCGTTTTTCTTACCCCCACAGCCTGAGCTCGGGCTTTCAGCCTGCACACGCAGGGGGCCGCCTGGCCCTGCTGTCCGTCACACAGGACTGGCTCTGATGCCCGCTGGGGGTGCCAGCCTTCCAGGAGGAGAGGGTTCCCAGGGCCCTTGACCTTCGGGAGGGGCGTGGTGGGTTTCTCAGAGGGGACCCCACGTAGGCACACAGTGTGTTCATGTATTTGTGCAAACCACCTCCTGGGTCCCTGCCACGCGCCGGTCCCCAGGCCTGGGCCAAGGGCTGCTGGCCAGGGTGCTTCCTGCCAGAGGGAAGTGCTCCCACCACAGGGACCTGCGGCCGCTCACACAGAGTCCGCAGTGAGGCGTGTGCTCTGAGCGGTGTGTCTGGCCCGACACACACAGGCGGGCCGGCAGCGACGGCGGTGCCCGAGGAGAGGCGGCGAGAGGGCTGAGCTCTGGATGCCTCTTAAACCGGGTTAGCGTGTGCGGCGCAGGCCGCACGGCCGCCTGTCCCGCTGGACGGGAGCAGAGGCCAGCCGCATGTCCTCACGGAGACTGCCCGGCCCACGGGCCTCCTGCCAGGGCTGCGCCTGCGCCTCCCCTCCGTCCAGTGTCCCTCTGCGTCATGAGAAGCACGAGAGGACATTCCTTACCAGGTGACGCGGGCAGACACGGGGAGGGACAGTGCTGTCTGTCAGTTGGAGGTTAAAGAACGCAGCGCACAGTAGGCGCTAGTGCACCCCCCCCCCCCCCCCATGGGGCTGGCGCTCCGGGCAGGAGGCCCCAGCAGAGGAGCCCGGCCGGGCCCATCCCGGCGAGCCGCCCTCGGGGCCAGGACGCAGGCGGAGGGCGGCGCGGGGCGGCCGCCTTAC